TTTGATTAAAGAACAATATGGTTTCCGCCCACGATTTAGTACTCTCTCGGCGGTAATAGACCTAACCACGAAAATTAAAACTCATATTGATCAAAAACATTTTGCGCTAGGGATTTTCATTGATTTAAAAAAATGTTTTGACACAGTTTTGACACATTAAATTAATAGAAAAACTAAACAACATAGGTGTGACAGGTACAGCTCTTAAAATGTTCAAATCATTTTTTAAAAACAAGCACCAAGTGGTAAAAATAGGAAATTTCACTAGTTCATCTCGGAAGGTGACATATGGCTGTCCCCAAGGCTCAATTATTAGTCCATTACTTTTCTTAATATACGTCAATAATATCAATAAAATAGGTAACCCTATTAACTAACTAACTGGATACCTAACATACATTATATGCTGATGATACTTGTCTCTTTTACTTTAATAAATCAATTAAAAATATTATAATCGATGCTCAAAAAGACCTCGATATAATTAATGAATGGCTCAAATACAACCTACTCACGATAAATACCTCAAAAACATCTTACATGGTTTTTGCCGCAAAAAATAAATCAGTACCAGCTTTCCCACCTCTGACTATAAATAAGGAAATAATACAACGCTCAATTGGAGAAAAATACTTAGGCCTATGGATAGATGACAAACTAACTTGGAACCTTCACATTAACAGTGTGCAAACTAAACTCGGATCAGTATTGGAAGCGTTACGCAAAACAGCAAATTATCTACCAAATAAAGTACGCACTATCATCTATAACTCACTAGTAAAGTCTCACTTAGAATATATGATTGAAATATGGGGATCAGCAGCTGCCACTACCTTAAAACCACTACAAGTAACTCAATATAAAATCATTAAAGTACTACATCATTACCATTACCTGACACCTACAAAATTAATATACGAAAAAACACAATTACTTAATCTCACACAACTATACATATACTACATTTGCATTCTAGTTAAAAAAATTTGCGATAACATGATCCAAACAAACATAGCACTACAGAAAAAAGAAACAACTCACAATTTGAGAAATAAAAATAAACTCCAATTATCTTGCCCGCGTACAAAAATGTAATAGTATAAATATATTCAAAAGTAAATTAAGAAAATATGTAAGCATGCTATAATTATTGTTTCAAAATAATATATTTGTAATGTATAATGTAATATGAAGAAAAAAAAAATAATTCCAATATTTAATATATTGTAAAAAAAAATAATTTTAATACTACCGAATAATAATTTTAATATTATTTAAAAATTCATATGCCAGAAGTGTAAACACAATATTTGATAATGAAATTTAAATTCAAATCTTATTTTAAACAAACTGTTATAGTTTTTATAAGAAATAATTTTCTTTAAACCGAAATCGGAGAATCGGGTGTTTCCACGAGTTTTCCCCCCGAAGAAGCTTCATAGTTTATCGACTGAAAAACCATACCTACATAAAGACCATACCTACGTAGTTTCGTAAATAAATTAATGATGACCCGATTGACGTGGGGAGTAGTGACCCTGCCTCCTGCGCCAGTGGGTGTGGGTTCGATCCCCACTACTGGAAAAATATTGTGTGATGAACATCGTGTTTTTCCAGTGTCTGGGTGTTCATATATTTATAATATGTATTTGTTTGCAAAAAGAAAAGTATGTGTAAGTAAATTTATCAGTTTTCTAGTACCCATAGTATAAGCGTTTCTTAGTTTGAGACTAGAGAATATTGTGTAAAAAGTGTGTCCGAAAATATTTATCTTATTAGGGGCAATCAAAAAGTGGCACAATATTTGTTTAAAACAACTACTAATACCAATTTACTTCAAAATATTATACAGCGTGTCGTTACCATCGCGACAATAAATGAACACACGTCTAACGCTACTTGCTAATAATCATAAAAAATATTAATGTTAAACAAATTCCATAATTAAGAAAAATATATTTTTCAGACAAACTAATTAAGTAAAAAAGAAACAAAATTTGTTTCACCTATACAACTACAACTGACTGATTTATACATTCAGAAACTTTTTCATTCGTTGCCACAGCGTCGCATTACAATCCTCTCCTTCTAACAGTATGTTTTATCTTCTTCTATTCCTCCTTCTACTTCTGTTTTTAGTAATCTCAAAACAATAAAAATTCTTTACTGCTCATTTGTACAACCTATATTCGAATATGCCTCGCAGCATGGAATCCACAATATGAGATTTACAAGTCTCGTATTGAGGGTATCCAGAAAAGATTTTTAAGATACCTTGATTACAGAGTGCATAATAATTCACGTGACTACAATGATAGGTGCCATAGGTACCATTTTCTTCCTTTGTCCGTTCGGCGTGATATTAGTGACGTATGTTTTTACCTGAAACTCTGCAACGGTTCAATTAACTCTCACAAGCTATTATCAGACATCACTATAAATGTGCCTATAGCAAACACGAGGAACCGCATACTTTTTTACATACCCAGAGCTCATACGAATTACAGGTGCAATTATTTTATGATTAGGACTGCTAAATTTATTAATGCACGAAATATCGACCCATTCTTTACCTCTCCAACTGTGGCTAAAAAAACTTTAACAGAGCAATATTTTTCCTAAAAATGGTTAACTAATTACTAAGAATTGAATTTGATTTATGTACTAAGTTTTTTCTTTTCTTTAATTTATTTTTTATTTTTTTTTTCTTTCATCACTTGCTCGACTTTTTTTTAAAACATAATTATGTACTAAAGGTGGAAACTTGTAATTGGCTCTTTATACAGCGTGTCGTTACCATCGCGACAATAAATGAACACACATATAGGGGATAACTTTTTAAAGTTGTATTAAACAGTTAAATTCTTTAAACATCAATATTTACAGAGTTATTAAATTTTCCAAAACAAAGAATTTTAGAACACCCTTACCTATAAAAGCGTAATGTAAAGTTCATTTGTAAAGGTCACAAAGCATATGAATGGGTTGAACGAATTAAAAAGAGACAAAACAAACTGTTAGAAGGAGAGGCTTGTAATGCGACGCTGTGGCGCGAGTTTTATAGGATGTTACAAATTTTGTTTCTTTTTTACTTAATTAGTTTGTTTGAAAAATATTTTTTTTAATTATGGATTTTGTTTAACGTAAATATTTTATTATGATTATTGGCAAGTAGCGTTAGACGTGTGTTCATTTATTGTCGCGATGGTAACGACACGCTGTATATGTTACAATATTGGTTTAAAATAAGTACCTAATTTGCTGTAAGTTTTCCTAATAATATAAAATAAAATAAAAATAAAATTATCTCTTTTAAATTCATTCAACCCATTCATTCATCGTTACAGTTTTATACGTAAGGGTGTTATAAAATTCTTTGTTTTGGAAAATTAAAGAACTCTGTAAATATTGATGTTTAAAGAATGTAAATGTTCAATACAACGTTAAAAAGTTAAAGGATATAACAATAATGTGCCAAGCATTGCTTCAAATGCTAAGAAAACAATGCAGAAAAAGACGAAATATTTTAATGCTCTATATGTGTATTCATTTATTGTCGCGATTGTAAAGACGACACGCTGTATATGTATATGAAATTAGTCTATGAAATAAATTATGTAGATGATAGGCATACATACGGGTATAAGATTTTTAATAAATAAATTGAAAACCAAGTCGTAATTTCACATACATTTATTGAATACACTATAAAAACTACAAACAATAACAATATTATACAACTTTCTTGCGAGTGACATTTGCTTTATTTGTGAAATATTTTCAACTAAATTGCATAATTATTATTCAAATTTGCACTCTTTCGTTTCGAGGCTCGTGTAGCTTTCGGTCTACCAAGTAGTTTATTGCAAATGTGAGGTCTTTATGGCAATTGCGAGTATCATAACACTTACAGTACTATAAATTTTATTATTATTTTATAACTAGTCATTTCAATAGTTGTTTATGGTTATGTAGAGCAAATATGACTTCTGTTCTGATCGTCCATAGCGTTTCACTCGTAAATATTAAAAGAAACGGAAAGTGGAAAATAATCGTTGGCAAGTTTATGTTGTCGACATAACGGATTTGTCTAATTTCCATAAAAAAAAGTGTAAAAATGGCCTTTGACTGATTTAAAAGATGCTTTTGCTTTAAAGCGACGATTTTTGCAAGTTATTCACATTGAATATTTTTTCCTATAAAGGCAACTGGTCATACTCATAATTGAAATTTATTTGTTGCTTTAAAATAACAAATAGAGAATATTATATATAATGTCTTTTTGATAACTACATAAACTATGCCACGATTAATTAATAATACTTAACGCGTGTTACATAAAAATAGTTACGCGCGCTTTCTTTATTTAGTCAATAAATAAAATTTATAATTTAAAAAACTACAGCACAATTAAAATTATTTCATACAATAGGATAAATGTTGATTCAATACAAAATACATTATAAATTATGGCATTTTTAATGTTAAGAGACTATATTAACGTTTATAAATTCGTTACAATTATAAAGCAAGTAGTATTCATATTGTAACAATTCTCTTTTCCCACATAACATTTTTTTAACATAATCCGTGATATGATTTTACTAATTCATAAAGCACACCACACTCACACGCACTGACTCAGGCATAGACAAACGTCATCGATTCGAAATATCTGTGAAAACGTTAATCTCTCTACTTTAAAAACACATACCCATCTTACGTCGCAATTTTAAAATCGATATAAATTTAGATGCCTTCATTTATCACTGTCCTTTTCGATAAATAAATAACCTACAATCCTATCATCTTAAGCCTATATGTCGACAGAGGAATACAATAACCAGACAGCGGACAATTCTTTGGTAACACGTGGAGAAAAATATTGCTTTTCGTAGCAGTTACCTGTGGGACCAAAGAAACATGTAGCCAACCGTGGACTACCAACTAGTGATTCCTCATATAAAAATACTCTAGAATCAGTCTCTTCGATTGGTCTATTTTTTCGTGGTAACGTTCTGCTCCTGTGGCTCCGCTCCCAGCATGATCTGGATTTCATCTACGCTTTTGCCCTTCGTCTCCGGTATTACGAAGAAGATGAATATGAAGCCAACTAACATGATGCCGGCGAACATCCAGAAGACCTGGCCCTGTCCGATGGACTGGTTCAAAGAGTTGAAAGTGCTGGTGACCGTGAAACTGAGCAGCCAGTTGAAGGTGCCAGCGGTGGAGCCGACGAACGCCTTGATGTCAATGAGGCAGAGCTCGCCGGCCATCATCCATGGAATGGGGCCGAAGCCCAACGAGAAGGCGATGATGAACAGCGACAGTGAGAGCAACGGCAGCCAAGAGATCGACTGCACGATAGACGAGTCCGCGCCGTGGATGCCCTGCATGAAGAAGTAGACTCCAAGAGCGGTCGAGCACACGCACATGACCAAAGCGGAGAACAGAAGCAGCACCCTCCTCCCCAGTCTATCCACGACCAAGCTGGACACGAAAGTGGCGACGACCTGGATCACGCCGATGATTATCGTCGCCGTGGCCGCCGGTATAGCGGCGCCGGCGCTTGCGAAGATAGTGGACGTGTTGAATATCACGGCGTTGATACCAGACAGTTGTTGGAACAACATAAGGGCGTAGCAGATCAATATGGCCTTCAGTGCGGTCTTCTTGGTGATGGCGGATAGGAAGGAGACCGGGTTGTTTTTGGCCTCCTCCGCTTTGGCCATCAAAGTGTTCAGTTCTGCGTCCACGTCGTAGCTGGTGCCGCGGAGTCGGACCAGAGCCGCTTTCGCGTCTTCGTTCCTGCCCTTCACCACCAGGAAGTTGGGGCTTTCAGGCATGAAGAAGAAGACTATTCCAAAAATAATAGGTATAAGTGTGCACAGTATGTTGAAGACGAACACACTGGTGAAGCTGCCCACTATGTAGGAGAACAGTATTCCCACTGTGATCATCAGCTGGAAGTAGCTGCCGAGGGTGCCACGAATCGAGTCCTGCGCTATCTCGCTGGTGTAGGCCGGCGCGGTGACGCAGAACGCCCCGCCGGCGACACCGGTTATGAACCTCCCCGCCATGAGCATACCCACGTTGCTGGCGAACGTAATCAGCAGCCACCCGATTGTGAAGGGCAAAACGAGACAGAGCATGGTCTTCTTTCGGCCCAGGACGTCCATGATGAGCCCGATGGGAAAGCAGACGGCCGCGGCGCCCAGGTTGATGAGCGAGGATATCCAGTCACCTTGGGAACTGCTCACCTCGAAGTCGTAGTCGGTATTGTTTGCCTGAATTATTTTGAATATGACCGGCGACGACCAGCCGAGCATTGAACCGGCCGCTAATGCCCCCAGGGTAGCTGAAAACGAAGAAATGTATATATGAATAAATACTTCAAAACCAAAGTGAGAATTTTGTTATCATAAGATATAGTGGATTACTAGAGCCTAAAGTAAAGTCTATGGGCAATAGCCTGCGCTGTAGGTGGGTATTAGGGCATAGTCCTATCGGACAGGTGATAGTGGTGGTGCTACTCTTCCTGTCCTGTGTAACTGAGGTGGAGTCACAAGGGAGAGGAGTGCGTTTAGTCACTTCTCCTATCCTCCGCGAATGGGCGAGGCTGCACCGTACTTAAAAAAAGTAGTTAATACCAATAACAAGGCAAAAGGAAGGATTTGGTTTTATGATTGCGAATACATGATATTATACAAACATAACTAACTTAAAATAAATCTTAAACTTTAGTGACAATTTCCTTTTAAGCAATTACCTGTCAAGGCTGCAATATACTGTGGAAACTTGCGGCCTGTATCGCCACGGGGCTCCACCAGCGCTGCCTGGGACACACCAATCTCCGCCATCCCGCTGTTTGCTTGTGTCTGCTGTAATAATAATACAATTTTAGTTTTAATTAAAGGATAAAATTAAAAAGAATTAATGATATTTAAAGGTAAACTGATGTTTTATATTGGTGTTGCAAAATCTTAGTCAAATAGCACCTGAGATTCTAAGTTTGATTCCCACATGGGACAGGTATTTGTATTATTCACAGAAAATAGCTGGTCTGGGATCAGAGTTTGAATGAAAAGTTTCCTTACCAAAATTTTAAAATACACTACAGTAAGGACAATGTTTTTAAATAAAAAATAATCAATTCAAAATAAATATACATTTCAAATATTGACATTGCAAACACTACAAGATGCTAGGGTTTCAAAAATTTTATTTTTTAACTGTGGTGGTGACAGCGTGGGATGAGTTTATCTGGGAAAGTACTATGGCTTCACAAAAGACATGAAATAGTAAAAATATGCTTTCGGATTTCATCTGGCGAATTAGGTGACCAGCGCACTTTCTTACTGGTTGCCAATGCATCTGCAACCTATCAGGTGTTGTGGATGTGAACATAAAACAATAATGTACTCTAACAACTCAAGTTCAAATCCTGGTGCCGGCAATGATGAAATTGCTGATTGCAATTTTAAGTGCTGAAGTTAAATTTTTTTAATGTGAGAAGGTCACAAGCAAACTGGTAGTTTGTGGCCTTACCACAGTTACATACCCATATTCAATGATTATCACACATTATATCAATGAATGAACCTGTGTGAGGAATCCTGCATATTTTCTAAAAACTTAAAAAGAATTCAACCATAAATATACGAAGTTTGGTAATCCATTGTGAATTATGCTCTAAACACTACATCTGTGCTAAAGGCATCCACTACAGTGAAGGCCTTTAGCCATCAGTAAGAAACATATATGCTGTTATATTTCCTTTTAATTTTAAACACACAATTAGAAAAATTACACCTTTCATTTTATGTATCAAATGTATGACAAAAACTAATATAGATTAAATCAAGGTAGAAAATAAGGCTTTGTCTCATTCATACTGGTTGATAGGTAACAAAGGTAAGCAATTAGTATACTTTATGTCGTGTACAATATTACACCTTGAAAAATTAGCTCAGAGTTGAGAACCTAATGGAAAATTTTACCCTCAAATTAAGTTATTAAATTATAGGGGCCTCAATGTAATTACCTCATTTTGTTGAACTCTACTGGGGCCAGGTTCGCCAAGTAAAGGCTCAGTTTCAGAATTTCGTCGCCTCCGGAATAAATACGAACGCATTTTGCACAATTCCTTTTACTTTTAAAAAAATAACTAAAGGATAACAATAAGATGACATAAGAAACATCTATGTTCGCTTTGTTTGTTTGCACCAACGTCGATAGCAGATGCGCGATAATATGTAGGTAAATAAATAACAAGTAACTACCAGCCAGCTGACAAGATTGACATTTGACAATTTCTGCTTACGTTGACACATCAGGCCATCAGTGACGTTCTCGGAGCATAGACATTATAGACAATACATAGGAAATATTGTTTATAGTACTGCTAAGGATCTAATATTTACAATTTATATCTAAGCTGTAGGTATTCTAATCTAATTGGTTATTTTCAAAGATATACATAAATTTACCTTAAAAAATACATACATGTATTTTAAATATAAAATCTTAATAGTTTTGAATTTTAAGTTTTATAATATAAACAATCGCCTAAGAAAAACTAAGAGCAACAATTTATTTTAAAGCACTATTGCTTGCAGCGTAAGTTTAAAAATTAATTATTTACATGGGCACGTGCGTTTTTCGAATAGAAATATTTTTAATCGATAAACATAACCGTTTAGCGATTAAAAATTATATTTCTTATATAATAAAGTAAAAATATGCGCCATTTAGATTTTGTGAAAAAAATCTTTTTTTTAGTGACGATGCGCCGCTTCGCGCTTCTACTTAATAATAGGTAGGGGAAAAAGTTTCTTCGAATTTTATATGAAAATTCAAAACATTTTTTAGTAAAGTTTATTTACATTTAACGTAAGTATGTAGGTGCCATTTTGTTCGAAAACTTTCTGCCATCTTGTAGGTAGGGACATGGTCCCATTACTATAAAAATTCTGGGACTTCTCAAAAAAACGCGACAAGTGGTTTTGGCAGTCCTCTCGTGATGTTAACCTGACACTACCTAAAGAATTCTGAAGAGACCGAAGATACCAAGACCAAGTAGAAATCTGAAGGTGCAATGTCAGGACTATAGTCAATACAGGATATATATCACCTCTCAGTCAAATTCTCTTAATTTTTGCTGAGTGGCTAAAGATGTATGAGGTCTAGCGTTATCATGATAAAAAACCACACCCCTTCTGTTGATTAATTTCGGCCGCTTTCTCTCAACTTCTTCCTTTAATCTCATCAGTTGTTCGCAGCAGAGTTCAGAATCAATGGTACTGCCTGGCGGTAACAGCTCATAATGAAAAATGCCCTTCGAATCCCACCATATACACAGCATTACCTTGTTGCGAGATAACCCGGGTTTTGCCAGAGTATGTGAAACCTGACCAGCCTTTGACCACAACCTTTTTCGCACGTTCTTGTCGTACGTGATCCACTTTTCATCACCAGTCATTAGGTTTTTCAAAAATGGTTCCGTTTCATTTCGTCGTAATAAACAATCATAAATGAGTACACTGGTCATTAGGTTTCTTTCAGTGAGCCTCATGAGGCACCCAAATATCGAGCTTATTTGTGTACCCAGCTTTTTTCAAATGCGCCCAAACTGTTTTGTGGTCAATTCCCAGTTCTTCAGCTACATCGTAACTATTGATATAGTGCTCCACTCGCTTCACTTTTTCAAAAATAGCATCCATTTTAACCGTAACACGGCGACCAGAGCAAGGTGCATCTTTGACATCAAAATTTCCGGATTGAAAAGGCTTAAACCAAATTTGTACTACTCTCACAAACACTGCACTAAGTCCTTAAATATCACAAATTTTTTTCGCACCTTGCGTTGCATTTTTATCCTTTTCGTAGTAAAATGTATCGAATTTCTTAATTAGAATCAATCATCTTAACAGTAAGAAAAACAAATGAAAATCACACATTTTGACACACAAAACTTGAAATTGGAATTATCTTTTTTAAAATTTAAACTTTTAATGATACCAAAACCGGGCAGATACAAATGGTATAGCCAAAGAGATTATATTATAAGTACATAGTTGCGAAAAGACTTCTTCCCCAACCTAATACATATCTACAGTTGTAACACTTATCGAATTAACCCATCAGTTCGAAACAATTTAATTTTGAACCTAATTTATCTTAATTTATGAATAATATTGTTTTTAAGTAGGTATCATTATTTTCTCCAACCGAGTTCCTCTAAATGATTTACTTAGCATTGAAAGATATTTTTTTTCTCAAAATCTAAGTTTCGAGCCATATTTTTACTTCGTAATTATTGTTTCGGATATTCTTCTCTAAATCTCTATCGAAAAAATATTTGTATAAAAAAACGCGCTTGCCCCTACAAACAATTGCCCTAAAAATTTAAAAATTATTGTCGTTACTTATATTATTGCCCATTATTAACAGCATGGACACTTTCGATGTACGGTATATTTTTAAAACACGTTATAACAATATCTTATATTTTGCAAACAGACAATAGCATTTACAAAGCATATTTTGCCTTCGACATATGAAAACATGTCTACCATCATACTAGGAATAATAAAAGTATATGCGAAGTTTTGTCGAAACACGTTCATTATGCAAATAAGTATGCGAACTTTTCTTGTCGTCCAATGATCATAGAAAAGTGGCGTCGTGGTGTGATATTAACATTTGTCGAGTTTTTTATTTAGAAAAACAATAAAAATGTTTTATTTTTGGGATAATCTCGCAGTTGTAAAATGACCAACAAAAATTTTTCCTTTATTGTATAAAAGATAAAACATTTAAAACGATCTTGATGTAACCGCACTCTTTGTATCCCTACAATGTAACAATATCCTACAGAATTTAAGTTATGTCTGTAGTCTGTAACGTGATATTATGTTCGCCAAATGAAGGGTTTAGAAAAGGAATATTAATAGTACAGTTGTAAGGCAGGGTCACAAACTGGCGGTATGTGAAAAGAGTATATCAAATAAAACTATTTATTACCCGCAAGTAACAATAAAGTTATGGTTATGGCTCGTATTAAGATTATCTATAACAATATAATTAAAATTCCGCGTTTTATTGTTATGATAATTTCAATACGTCAACTAATGTAGCAAGTCAATGTAAGAAGGTAAGCCTAATAAATAAAATAATAAATACTTAAGGACACATTTTACACAACATTCTCTAGTCCCAAACTAAGCAAAGCTTGTACTATGGGTACTAGAAAACTGATAAACATACTTAAACATACTTTTCTTTTGTAAATAAATACATATTATACATATATAAACACCCAGACACTAGAAAAACACTATGTTCATCACACAATATTTTTCCAGTAGTGGGGATCGAACCCACACCCTCTGGCACAGGAGGCAGTTACACTACCCACTACGCCATTCGGGTCGTCATTATTTTGTCACTTCACAGCAGGCAGGGTCTCTACTCACCATGCCAATCGGTTCGTCAAAAATGTTATTTCTAAATAAAACTCGACATTAAACAATATTTTATACTGCAGAAGTGTTGTTAACGCACCCGGATTGAAGTCGTGGAAAACAAATAAAGATGCAGCGTATAACTTTAATACGGGGACGAGAAAGATAAATGATGATGAATTTAACTATGGTAGGGCCTCGCAACAGCTTCGGCTGTTGCACGAATGGGCAGGTCCGTCCGGGTGAGTACCACGACCTCACAGACCGGCGTAAAGTGGAAGTATTATACCTTCGCGTCTCGCCTGTTGAGTGAGGTAGTCGGGGCCCGCTTTATTAAAAGATGGCAACGCATTTGCGACCCTACGGCTGTTGCGAATGTCCATGGGTGGCGGTTATCACTTAACATCAGGTGAACCGCCTGCTCGCTTGCCACCTTTTCCCAAAAAAAAAATGCACCTCGAGGCTTTTTTTTACACATAAGCTAAAGTGACAAACACTTGCCGTCCTCTTTTTTCTCTTCCTCTTTATTTCTTTAATTAGCCTATCTTTTTTATAACATTCGAACGAAACTTTGAATGTATGCTGTCACTGTCTGGAAATAGACTTGACCGGTGATTTTATATGCGTATAACATATCAATAGTATAAAATCATCATCACTTCATTGACAATTATTAATCGATCGTTTATTTTAACAACTTAACACAGTAATTTTAAAATGACATCAAAATTTCCTCCTAAATTTTTAGCAACTTGAAAGAAATGTAAATTACTGAAAAGTAAAACGTGTTCGCATTTTATCGACTCTTTGTCCATTTGAAATGATAAGATTATTATCTGTAAACTGTCGTATCTCGATACGACAGTTTATCAAGCAAACCACCACGAATAATAATCTACGCACCGAATTATAAAATTATTTTGTTGTAAAGATACAGCAACCAGTTAGATTGAGAAAACTTGACGCCGATATCTAATATTTCTGATATATTACGTATTTATTTATATATTTTATAAGATATGGACCAACAGAATTGTCTGATAAGCAAGTTGAAGTGTATTACAATCGTATAAGTTTGATAAATAATATTTTCAGTAATAAATACCTACTAGACATTTTGCATTAGCAGAACTTCGAGATAAAAATACAAAGGACACACGGAACCATGAAGTTGTACATCTAATATATAAAATTCTCGTGTCACGGTGTTTGTAATTGAACTCCTCCGAAACGGCTTGACCGATTTTCGTGAAATTTTGTGTGCATATCGGCCAGGGTGGAGAATCGGACAAAATCTATTTTGCATCCCCCTAAATGTTAAGGGTGGTCCACCCCCAAACATTTTTTTCTAACCTACAAATAATTTATATGGCAAAACAACGCTTGCCGGGTCAGCTAGAATAAAGATAAAAAAGATAACTGTCAGCGAATAAATCCATGTAACGACAAAAAAAAAGAAACTGACGTATCGTTAAGAGCAATTACGTAGTTGTTCGGAAATTTGTGGTGGAGCGCCGATTCTGGTTTACAGAACCAGCCGGCCAAGCCTCCCGATTTAATTGCGCGGCAAAAAGTCGTTTACGACGCATCGCACCGCGCCGTCATCGGCAGGTTCACGTTACTGCATACCTACGACCGAAGCTTCCAGAGATTATTAGTAATCTGTGGT